CACACACACACACACACACACACACACACAAACACACACACACACGCACACGCACAGTCGGTGAAAGTCGGACGAAACCGTCTGACACAGCCATGCTTTTTTGGAGTGTATAGCGAATATGAGAACACACACACACACACACACACACACACACACACACACACACACACGAGATCGTCTTTTTTCAGAGGCGTCGCTAACTCTGGGCGACGTGGTGAGTTTTTATCCATCAGTCAAATGTATCGGATTCCTGGGCAGACTGAAGAGGTTCAACCTCCTGACGAGCTGGTAAAAGTCTGACGAAACAGTTCGGCACAGGAATGCATTTTTTGTGGAGTTGTGTAAAGCGAGCATTTTTTGTGGAGTTGTGTATAGCGAGCATGACAACAAACACACACACACACACACACACACACACACACACACACACACACACACACACACACACACACATCCACGAATCATTTAGCATTTGCACACGATAGGGGTTGTGGGTTGTGGGCAGACCCAGCAACGTCCTGGGGACGGGCCCTCGTTTGTGTTTGCCGGAGTCTTCCATTTGTGGGCCTCTGGCCGTCGATCATTACTATCTATGCGCCTCTCTCCCTCACTCACCGCCTCCACAAACGGTAAAAGTTACGGCGATGCATCTTCGTGGATAGAAATTATGGCGATGGATCCATCGCCGTAGATGCTCCTTACTATCCCATGTGAGTACATCAGATGAAGTGCTACCCTCTTCCCCCGAGTACAACGTACGGTCATTGTAGCTGTTTTTGAGGTATCTTTCTGTCTACATTCGGCTGTAATGACCGTACGTTGCATAAGGGGAAAGAAGGTAGTCCGCGTGACTGAGCAACGTCACACAGCAAAAGAGAAGAGATGAGATAAGCTGAAAAAAACACCCAAGCACAGGTATAGCTCATTGTAATAATCATGAGAAAGCAGAGCTCATCTGGCGATTGACCCTACGCTGCGCTTTTTTTTTTTTTTTTTTTTTTTTTTTGCGCTTAAACCGGTCGCCAGTCCGGCATAATCAGGGGTCGCAGTACTACCTGGCAAAGCTCATCTTCTGTGGTCTGACCGAAGATTCATTCTGATGTCGCACATGCCACATTTCGTGAGTCGGGACTCTCTCTCGGCTGGAGCGAGGCCCTATGTTCGTCAATATCCGTAGTGGGTGGCGAGTGGGGTGGAGCGAGGCCCTATGTTCGTCAGTCAATATCCATATTGGTCGGTGGACGGACGGCAGCTAGAAAAAAGTTTCTGCTAAGATCAAGTGTTGTAGTATCTGATCAGTTTAATATCTGATCCGTGACCCATCGGGGCGTCGATACCAACGGGGCGTAGCTCAGTTGGTACACCCATGGACTGTTGAAATGCAGACTCAAGTTCGAATCCAGATGCAACCAGAATTAAACCATTCTGAATTACGTGGGCCTGGTCAGTTCAATGACGATAAAAGGAAAAGGGAAAACCAACGAGCCTACGTGTAGCTCAGTTGGCACACCCACGAACTTTCGAAATACAGACTCGAGTTCGAGTTCGAATCCGGACACACCAATCAGATGCCCAGAATAACATATTTCTGAATTACCTGGGGCCGGTCAGCTTCAAGGATGATGTCTCAAGGCTGTCACCTTTGTTCTTTTTTTTTCGATAAAAAAGGTTTTGATAAAATCGGCAAGTACCGACGGTCCTAGCTGAGGTCGCACTCACACCAGCTCTATCTGAAATGTGTCTGAGCGCGTTCGTGTCCGGGCCGTGATGCATCTGACCGCAATTTCGTCCAAAAATAAGTTAATAATCAGTCCGAGTGTGAGATGCATCTGTCAGTGACCGCAATTACACGTCCAGAAACAAGTAAAATGGTTCGAGTATAATAGCATAATAATATGCCCTCAGGTGGTTCCACCCATGAGCTGTTATGCTCACCCCCTCACGTTAAAAGTGGGGTACTGTCCTTCGGGACATCCGTTAAAATTGGAATGATACAGAGAAGATTGATTAGCATGGCCCCTGCGCAAGGATGACACGCATAAATCGAGAAATGGTCCAAATTCTAATTAAAATAAAAAATAAAAAAAATAAAAAAATGTAGGGTACTCTATATTATGCTCCAACCATCACGAATCCCTCCTGCTCAGGGGCTGTTTTCTGGCTACGGTCGGAACTACCTGGTAGTCGGGGATATGCCTGACGGCTCCGCTCTACGGGTGAGCTTCTTCTTATCTTGCGGCGAGGGCGGACTCCGAGGCGATGGTCATAGATTACTCCTCGTCGGGTCCTAATTACTGCTGTATCTCTCGGAGAATTACTTCCTTCGAGATTGGTTTTCACGCGGCGTCCCCCCTGGGTCTACACGGGTTACTTTCTTCTTATCTTGCGTCGAGGGCGGAGGCTATCGTCATAGCTCTGCGATGATTACCTATCGGTTGCTTATTGTAGAATCTTTTTTTTTTGGAGAGTTACTTCTGCAGTGGGAGGTTGGTTCTCACACAGCGTGCGCCGCGGGGCAGCGTCTGGTCTACACGGTTGTGCGCACGTCTGAGGGCGTACTCGCACTAGGTAGCACTTTCCAGAATGCATCTGACTGCAATTACAGCCAAAAAAACAGGATGCACGTGACTGCAGTCACGTCCAGAGTCGGTTTTCACTCATCACATGAACAGTCTGTTGAGAGACGGAATAAGTTCGAATCCCATTCAGATGAACAGAACAGAATCACTGTGAATTACCTTGGACCGGTCAGTTCGATGGTGATATCTTCAGAAAAAAAGGGGAAAAAGGGGAGAGTCAACCAAGTCCCACTAGCTTTATTATTTTTGCAACCCCAAAAATTTAGACCAATTTTTTCAATTTACGCGTGTCGTCCTTGCGTGGGGGCCATGCTAAGCTTCTCGGTCGGGTTTTTTTTTTTTTTTTTTTTTTTTTTTTGAGAAATAGCATAATTTCATTATAAAGGCAAAAGGAGGCCGGGAATCCCTCCACATCTCAACCCGGGCAGAGGAACCAAGCCTCAGAGAGGCTAACTGGAAACCGGGTCCAGTGTCCCATGTTCCTATCAACAGTCTTGCTATTTCTGAAGAAAAGGAGAAAAATAGGCAATTGAAATCTACCAAAAGACACAAAGGGACGAACTCTCTCTCTATCCATGATCCTACAGACATTCATTATGGTCAGTATGGTCACGGAGAAAACTCACAAAAAGCAGAGTTCGTCAACACAAATTCAAAGAAGATGCGTTAACAGTTACAATCGTATGATATTACAGGTGCAAACATCGTTCCACCACTCCCAAGATCCACCGTTCATACCGCAGACCCAACGTCCGCCACCGTAGTCGCCAACATTCCGGAATTATGTCGACGCTACTGATAACAGACCCCCGTAAGAGATCGAACAGATTGTACTAACTATTCTTATACGGACTGAATGACCAGACGTAACAACCATTGCAACCAGTGGGACACGCAGAGCATGGTCACCATTACCAGGTCCTGTAGGGGCCGGTAGGGGTACCCTTCACTCGTACCCGTCCTAACTATAGTAATCAGACAGTACACACAGAAATCACCAAAAAAACCCTGTCAGAACATACCTATAGTAACCAGACAATACCCACAGAAATCTACAAAAGAACCATGTCCGAACATGACAGGCCAAACCAAAGTCGTACCTTATCATGCGTCGTGCTCTAAGCTAAGAAACTAAAAACCATTCCCAAACTAGATACCAAATGCTGTCTAAACATGCAAAGTGGACGTTCTTCACTCCATCAAACTGAGCTTCTGTTTCCAGACCTCATCCCTCTGAAAGGCAAACCTTCGCAGGACTCTTCCAAAGAAGTCCATCGGGCAATCTAGCTCCCGTTTCAAGGACAACACCCTACTTGGGATCTCACTGCGAATAGACGTGTTTTGGTCAATCCGATGCAGATAGCTGCTCTTCTGTTGTTTGCTTCCCCACGATAGAAAGGACCGTCCGTTCTTGATTTCCAACTCACCCTCACACTAGATACTGCGCTCGTTCCTTGTCATTTGAACGCAACCCAGATATGGGTAGCTACCGAGGCTTTTCACAATACAGCCCAAGAAATCAACAATGCCAGATCCATCGTCCGTTCGCTTAAGACTCAAATCCACCACGCATTGACAACCTCTTGGATAGAGTGCATACTTCAGCAAGATAGATTTGAAGTCCGAGTACCATGAAATACAGATTATACCTAAGGATCGGCACAAAACCGCCTTTCAGGTAAGGTAGGGTCTGTACAGGTTTGTAGTGATGTCTTTCGGTCTCTGAAACGCACCCAATACATTCCAGCACGCCATGAACAAAGTTTTTCACAATTGCCTGGACAAGATAATTTTCGTGTACCTCGATGACATCCTTGTCTTCAGTAAGACTATAGAGGAGTACGCAGAGCACTTGGACATTGTTTCAGGTCTCCTCCATAAACACCAGTATAAGATAAATTGGGAGACATACGGATTTGGTCGCATCAGGATCTTATAGCTGGGTCATGAAATCTTTGAGGACAGATTGAGGCACGGAGATGCAAAGGTGGCTAGCATACTTGACTGGCCACGACCCCAGTTTGTGACTGAGGTCCGATATGTTTTGGGGATGACGGCTCACTACCACCCGTTTGTAAAGAACTATAGTATGGTTGCTAGCCTCTTGACCGATTTAACCCGCCTTGACACCCCATGGGAATGGACAGGGGAATGTGAGTAGGCTTTTAGGAAACTGAAGCATATTCTCACTCGTCATGAAGTCCTAAAAATCCCAGATCCTGACAAGCCGTTTGTTGTGACAATCGACACTACCGTCGTCACCCGAATAGAACATCCGGTAATTATTGTCGTATTTGGGCTGAAAGTTGTGCCAAATACAGCTATAATGACCAGGCGTTCTATTCGGGTGAAGACAGTAGTCGATATGGCATTGGCGAGGTTCTGCAACAGCAGGGAGGAAAGAAGTGGAGGCCCATCGAGAACATGAACAAGAAGATACCCTCGAAAAAAAGTTAGCAGCACCTACCTATGAGAAGGAGCTATATGCACTGTACAAGGCACTAACACACCAGAAGCACTCCTTGGCAGTGTTGGCACACATTTTGTAATCAGTCTGACCATGAGACACTCCACTAGATCAAGACGCGGTCCTCTCTCTCCGATGCCTTGAAGAGGTGGATACAAGTCATAGACGTGTATGACTTCAGCCTCGAGCATCTTCCAGGAGAATACAACAAGGTTGTTGATGCCTTGTCTCGTAGACTCGTGCAGCAGATTATTTAGGCGCATTGATAACTGAATTTGGGTCATCTGACAATATCACTTGACAGCTGGTGGAAGCCTACAAGATAGACAGGTTCATGTCAGAGATCATAAGCAGGCTAGAGGCCGAAGATAAGGCGACGTCTGCCGAACTCGTGGTGGTTGATGGCTTACTCCTTCTTGAGAAGGCTGGGCTCAAAAGACTAATTCCAAGTACTGAGTTCTTTACGTAGTTTAATTTTAGGGGAGTGTCACGACACTACTGGTTATTTTGGCTACAGGAAGACTTCTGCTAACCTGGCCTAACATGCTGGTGCCAAGCTGTGCGTAGAAACGTGCAGGTTTGTCAAGGAGACAAACCAAGGACTCGGGCTCCTCTAGGGTTTGTTAAGCCTTTGCCCATTCCGGCCGGTCCGCGACAGCCTGTCCATGGACTTCATGGATAGGCTGGTGACCAGCAAGTCTGGCAAGAGGCACATTTTCGTGATTGTGGACAAGTTCTCCAAATATGCTAGGTTGGTAGCACTGTCGGAGACAGCAAACATAGATCTTGGCATCCGGATGTTCATGGATGATGGAACACTGGGTACGGTATTTCGGTCTACCTATGTCTATAGTCAGCGACCGAGATGTCAGATTTATGAGCAAGTTATGGAAGAAACCCGCAGAGCAGATGGGATCCCAGTTGCAGATGATGTCTGCGAACCACCCGGAAGCTAATGGCCAGGCAGAACAGATGGACAGAGTAGTGCAGCATCTGTTGCGTCACTATATTGAGCCCAGCCAAGATGACTGGGACGAGAAACTGCCACTGGTTGCCAGCCTGTACAACAACGTAATACATAGCACGACAGGCCAGGCTCCGAGTCAACTGCATTTGGGATGGAAGCATAGGACACCCCTAGACTTTCTCCTTCCTGATGTTCGGCCAACAACTGCGCCAAGTAGTATCGAATTCGGGATAGACTACAATAGGATGCTGCAGCAGGCCTCCGAACACGTTCAGAGATCTCAGATTGCAATGATTGCATCTGATAACAAGCATCGGAGGACCGACACAGGGAGTAAGTTTCATTTGGGGATCGTGTGTGGGTAAAATCATCTGAGTTCATGCAGGAGATGGACATCTCTCGTAAACTGATGCCTCAGTACTTTGGACCATGGGAGGTTCCTGACATTGTAGGTTCTGAACCCGGACTGACTGTCCTATGCAATCAGCGTTCCGCCTCATCTTCGCACCTACTCTGTCTTTCACTCCTCCAAACTCCTACCTTTTTCAGAAACCGGCAAGTATCCCTCAAGAAGGTCTGCTGCCCCCAACCATGGATGGCTATGTCGACATCGACCGGATTGTTGAGCACAAGGTTATGCCTGTACCGAAGCCTACTGACAGAGGAAGACCTCCAAGGCCAAGAATATAGTACAGAGTATGGTTCAGGCACCATACAGACCCTACAGAAGACTGGTGGTTCACAAGGGAAGAGCTGATGCAGACAGCACCTCAAGTAATCTCAAGGTATGAGGAGTTGAAAGCAAAGCAGCAAGCAAGTTGAAGGCTTTCTCAGAGGACTTTCGAAGCAGAGGGGGTAGTGCAAAGTGTAAGGTCCGTAAGAGGTCCAAGGAATTTGGTTGAGCCCGCCCTCAGTGAAGGCGGGCCTGCACTTCACGGCCAAATCTGAGAATATGGGGGGACCGAGGTAGTTGCAACTGAATCACGGGCCTGGAATTCTCGAGGAGGCCGAAGCCTCTCAGCCACAAACGTGGCCGTTTCTAGAAGCAGCCTCCCTGGGTAGTTGAGGCTCCAACCGTATGGGGCCCTGAGCACATTCCAGACAGGCCCTGTGCAAAGGTACTGGCTGGGAAAGGCTGCCGCACGCTGCCGCTGGGACAGGCAGGTCGCTCCTGAAGCTGCCTCGCCCGTGCATCGTTGGCACAAAAAGAGTGTTGGGCGAGGCCAGTTGCATTTGCTAGCTGGGAAGCTAGAGTGCGTCGATGCTGCTGCATTGAGCGCTTAGTGCTTCTGGCTGGTGGAGGGCGCGAGCGGTGCGGTTGAGGAGGGAGGCAGCCATAGCGGGCTGCAGAGGGCATTGCACCATAGCCGGGCAGCAGGCCCCATAGCTGAGGCTGAGGGGTGGTCTTTTGGGCATGGGGCGTACAATGTGGGTGTCGAGGGATGTGCAGGGCAAGAGAGAGCATACCCGGTGATGGTGAACAGACCGCCATAGTTGGATCTTCTTCTTCATCTGGTTGCTAATCTTCAAGAGAACCGGTTGTGGTCAGTAGGAGTCTGGGTGATAGGTGGCAGTCTGTCAGTAGTCTGGGTGCCGAGCGCCAACAGATGAGCGACATTGGGGAACATTGCTGATGGTTGCGAGATAGTGCTTTCATGGTCAATTAACTTCATTGATGTGCTCATACTCGGTGTATTTTGTGTGCATTTCTGCTTTCAGTTCGTGCTTTTGACTATCTGGGCACTATGAGATGATGCAATTTGGTTTCTGTCAGTTGCTTTGCTTATATTCCTTGCATCTGTTTGAAAACACCATGTGGGCCTGCTAGAGGGGGTGATATGAGCATCCCCCTCTAACAGTGTCCGACAGAGAATGCAATTTCAGGGTGTCTGTGATTGAATGGTAGGAAATGAAGGGGTTGCCCCTATGATTGGGCATCCATAGCTCCAATCATACTGTATTGGTTGATCAAATTGAATGAACCTTCTGGGTGTGCTGGTAATGCAGGTGAACAACTCATGGAGAACAGCAATGCAATGATGAAGGTTGTGATTTCATGTAGGAAGGAATCAATGTAATGATTTCCATCTTCACTCTGCGGATCATAGTCATGTTCCGTCTGCGGGTCGAAGTGCATCACCTACCTGGTGGTGCATTGGATCTGATGTACATCTATTTCTTGCTCAAGACCACAGCATAACTGAAAAGCATCTGATCGTGCGGCGACCATACTAACCTGCATCTGGCAGGCAAACGAGAGTTGTGAGTGTACTCGGCACAGAAAATCTAAAGGGCAGGCAAAGGAGAGTTGTGAGTGAGCTGAGCACAGAAGATTTGAAGAAGGTCCCATCTTTGCTCGAAGGGAGTCTAATCTTCGATGTTAGTCAAGCTTCCTTGGGGGCCAGGTTGCATCTGTTTATTTCTAGTTCAAACTCGAGGTTCAACTTCGTTCTGCGATTTTGTCTAAGAACTTGGTGGGAGGAGTTGAGGGTTCCATTTTCACTCTAAACTTCTAAAGTCCAGATTAAGCCAGGTGGCGAGCAACCCACGGAAACTCGCTGGGTCAAGACGTATAGCACAGATTGAGAGATTGAGACATCTTCAAGGCTCCGAGCCTCTTTCGTTAACGAAGAGAAAAGGCGGCCTGCTGTGCTGGTGCTGTATATCTCTGGCGTATCTGCACTCTCTTTTTTCAAGTTTTTGTTCAAAATTCTTTCTTTTTCAAAATTCACGGCGCAATTCTGAAGGCACTGGCCTGGCGAATGTTTGCCGTCTCACATCCGCTGTGCAGGCATCTGTGGTAAGGGACGTTGCAATTTTGCCCGGCAAGGATTTTTTGGGGTTGATCTGGCCTCTGAGCTTTGCAGTAAGACTCGGACACCTGGCCAGGCATGTGCACAGCATCAGCAGCACATCCGCAGAGTCTTTCTTCCTCGTTCGAAGTTTGAAGTCATCTTGTATCTGTAGATAGATTGAGGAGGGTTCAGGGTCAACTAGATTGTCTCCTCTCCTCTGCGTGCACGCTGGTAGCATAGTAGGCAGTAACTTCCACGCAATCAAGCATGTCTTTTCTGAGGAGAAGGCATGTGTTGATTGGTGGACATGGTCTATCAAGAGATCCTTTCCGCGGAACCTTGACACAAAGGAAGTTCTTTGTCGTGTTGTTGATGAGTGTGACGACTTCATTTGTTGCTGTAGCGGTAGGCACGGCTATATTCAAAAATGCCTTCAGTCATAGGCTGGCTCATCGAGGTTTCGTGCATTTTGTGTCCTTCAAGAAGCCATGCGAAGCAGCGGCGGCACCGCCTACTTCGGTGGCCACAGTGCAGCTCCTTGCCGATTTGATCATAGCCCTGGCCTATTTTTCCATTCCTGTTGAGCTAATCTATTTCTACTTGAAGGCGCCCACCTTGCCGGTCACTGCCCGCGTCCTTCTCTGGTTATTTGCCAGTTTCATCGTGCTTTGCGGGATGACCCACTTCATCGCCGCCTGGACGTACGAAGATCATTCGCCATTGCTGCGGTTTGCAGCTACAGTGGTCAAGGCCACAAGCGCAGCGGTGTCGATGCTCACAGCTGTGGTGGTCGTTTTCGCCGCTCCGTCATTGTTGTATATGAAAATACAAGAGGTTTTTCTGAGAAACACCACAAGCAACCTGAACACTGAGGTGGAGCTTGCGCGAGTGGAGGCAGAATTGGCCCGCATTCTGAGGATACTAACCGAACACATCAGCCACTCCCTTGACCGGGACATCATCATTGACACCACGTTGACCGAGCTCACGAAAGCACTCTCTCTCACTGAATGTATGGTCTTGATGCCATCCCCAGGAAGCAACGATCTCTTCATGACGCATGCAGCGAATACAAAGTTTGATGGTGTCCACAAGCCCCTCAAACCCGGGGTTAGTTTATCAGATGATGTGGTTCAGAAAGTCATGGTAGCCACTGACGGGCCGAGAGTGATCGCAGTCCGGGAGAGTGCAGCTATAGGAGATGTCCTAACGGGTTGTCACCACCGGATGAGTGAGAAAGATACGATAGTCGCCATGCCTTTGCATGTTCCAGTTGGCAACGACCTCCCAATGTCCTCTGTATTTGACAATGTGGAGAAGACGGATGCCGATAGTGCGTGTGAAGCCGTCTTGCATCGGGCGCAAGGTGAAGAGGAATTGGAAGCGGGGCCTGCTGTGGCAGATTCAACAAATAGTGGGAGCAGCTATGGTGAACCCATGGACTCCCCGAAAGGTATCTTGGTGCTTCTGTTACCCGGAGAACGCGTGCAGTGTTGGAAAACGCACGGACTGTTGATGATCGAGATGGTGGCAGACCGGCTGGGCGTTGCCCTTTCGCATGCTGCCAAACTGGAGCTGTGTGAACAAAACTTGCAGCAGCTGGCAGAGACATGGCATGCACTGCATAAAACTCAAAGAGAGACGAAGGCGGTCATCGATGCACACAACGACTTCATCAGCGTGATGAATCATGAGCTGAGGACACCTCTCCACGCAATCACCAACGTTCTGTCCTTTCTCGAGGAAGAAGTCGATCTTATACCGGAGGTCAAGACGCTGGTGAGAGCTGTGGCCAAGAGCTCCAAGTCTCTCTACAGTGTCGCGGATAAGGTTTTGGATTTTTCTCTGCTGTGCCATGGAATGCTTGGCCTTCACATTCGGCCTTTCGACTTTGAGGAGTTGTTGGTTGATGTGAAGGCACAGGTGAAGCCTCTAGGCAAGGACAAACATGTGACCATCGGTTGGTTGGTTGGGGATGACGTTTCGGGAATCGTGGTAGGGGATCGACTTCGCATCATTCAGATCTTCAGGCACCTGGTGGACAATGCCTGCAAGTTCGCAGAGAACGGACGAGTTGTGTTATGTGTGTCGCTCATCAAGTTATCAGGCTTGGAATTGCAAGGCGAAGCTTTGGATTTCCAGGATGAAGAAGAGGACGATAGAAAAGAACACCAGCAGCAGGATGTCCTTGCCTCGATCGCTAATGCCGCCATGTCCGGTCCATGTGAAGATGTTATTGTGGAACACAAGATCTCAGGGAACAATATTTCTAGATTCAGTCCATGGCATTTCCACAGAGGAGGAGAGGCTACAGACCCAGAGCTGCAGACAGCTGTGCAGAGAGGTGGTCCAATCCAGCTCTCCGTGCAGATTCGGGATAACGGTGTTGGCTTGGACCCGTCTGAGTTGCCGCACATCTTCAAGAAGTATGTGGAAGTGGAGGCGCTAACAGACAACAAGCGCTCTGCTACGGCAGGAATAGGACTAGGGTTGTCAATCTGCAAGCGCCTTTGTGACATGCATTGGGGCGGAATCACCATCCAAAGTGACGGGGTTGGCTTGGGAACCACTGTGACATTCAGTGTTCTGCTAGGAGGGTCAGAAACCGGCCGCAGCAACAGCGACTCCGAGAAAGCGCTTTTGAACCGGGGATTGGGCCGCACGAAATCAGAATGTGACTTAATGCATCGATTGCATGGTGTCAGGGTCCTTGTGTGTGATGACAATGCGGTCAACAGGATGATCGCTAAGGGTCTCGTTAAGTCACTAGGATGTGAAGTCGACACAGTCTGCTCAGGAAATGAATGCGTCGGGCGTCTGCAAAGGCATGGCCATGGCTATCATCTGCTTCTGCTAGATCTGTGCATGCCAGAGATGGATGGCTTCGAAGTCGCTCTGCAACTCCGTGACACGTTTCCATCTCGTGAACGGCCTCTGATCGTGGCATTCACTGCCTTACCAGAACGAGAAACAAAGGCCCGTTGCTTGAGCCTCGGGATGGCAGACGTGATCACCAAACCCATCTCCCGCCATGATCTTGGCAAGCGTATCTGTGCCTTACTTGGTCTCTGAGCTGAGGCAGCTTGTTTATGGGTAGGTTGGACGAAGCCTGGTCGGCTCTTCTTTAAACTTTCGTTCCTCCTCTTTTTTTTCATTTTGTTTGTTTCTCTCTTTGTGTGTGTGTGTGTGTGTGTGTGTGTGTGTGTGTGTGTGTGTGTGTGTGTGTGTGTGA